TGTAGGTTTGAGGATGGAACAGCCGGGATGGAGCAATAGGTCCCATGTTGTCCCAAAATATTATGTTATGTTATGGCTTACTGAATCTCTACGACAGAGAGGTGTGTCACTGACAAAAGTGATAGGTTTTGGTTAGAGCTGAGCGATTAGTGGTACTTGCTAATCACTTAACCGATGACTCCATTGCACTGGTGTTGCATATTTATGTATGTATCATATAATTTAATTGATATTGATATTTCCATCATATATATAAATTGTTGATGTATAAATAATGCTATATTCAACCTTACATGAAAACTTTTCAAACTTTTTTCTAGTGGAAAAAAAGAAGGAAACACATGGAGATACAGGGGATAGACAACAGAAAAAGAAAATTGGTAAGTTTAGTCTTTATTTACAAAAAACGTATACATACTAGTATAATAAGTAGGTGTATTAAGTAATGTAGCTTACAATGGTATGACTAGCAGGGTTTTAACTTGGATGAATGAAGATTGGATTATCCTCAAGTAATACTGAAATTCAGTAGTCAGGTACATAATTCTGTCTGTACATAGTCCAGTAATCTTAGTGTCTTGTATTAATAATACTTTAAAGCTTAAAAAAAAAATTATTGTATTCTTCCATAGGTGTAGCAGCTGCTGTAAAGCCTGTTAAGTATTTAGTAAAGATGAATATTTATAATGGCATGTAATTACTGATAACATTGTTTTGCTTTGAAATCCCACATTTATCAATTTTATAGGTAGTGTGAACTTGCAGCATACAAAATACTAAAGATTTTGGGAAAGTTATTTATATTTGAAAAGTTAAAGAAATAAGTTGAAAATATATATAATAGATACTATCTTTAAAGTATAGCAAAAGTAGTTTAGAAGGTTTTGGTAAGTGTCCTAGTGATTTTGAAGGGTTTACACACACACACACTAATGTAAAAAATGTGCTGCTACTTATCCTATGGAACAAAAATGTTTGTCCAGTAATTTTAGTTGAAATTAACTGTATCACAGTAGGCAATATTGTAGTCATCACCTTTGCAGTATGATATTCACTGTAAAAGCATGTGTGCTGGAGTAGGTCTAGCAGACTGGGTGGCAGCTGGACCAACATTATGTCACAGTAACTGTAGGCCTTTTGAAGCCTTAAATTGCACTTCAAAAATTGTTTCTAGGTAAATAGATAGACTTATAGTAGTGTAGTAATGTGTATAAATCAGTATAACAATGCATAATACATTACACGTGTAATCTGCAAGTGTATAT